GAGATCTTGGCTAACTGCAACCTCTGCCTCCCAGGTTCACGCCATTCTCCTACCTCAGCCTCCCAAGTAGCTGGGACTACAGGCACCCGCCACCATGCCCAACTAATTTTTTTGTATTTTTAGTAGAGACAGGATTTTACCGTGTTAGCCAGGATGGTCTTGATCTCCTGACCTCGTGATCTGCCCGCCTTGGCCTCCCAAAGTGCTGGGATTACAGGTGTGAGCCACTGCGCCTGGCCTAGAGTTGTAAATGCTTTTTATGAATAAAAGCAATGTGAAATTGATGCGATGATTGCTAAATAAATGTAGTTTGTCTGGCAGATGCTATCTTTCGTAATTGGCAGAGGGGAACAAAATAAAAAGATGTCCCTGATGGAAGAGTAGCAAATGGGGTGACCACATGAACCAGAAGAGCTCAAGGAAGACAACTTCTTAATTTGGTGGAAGCCCTAGACTGGAAATCTTGTTCTCAGAGTTCTCTCGCTTTTCATTGGAAGCCCCCTTTTTATTTTTCATCTTACTTTCATATTCTCACCTAGGAGAATCCCAGGGTTAAAATGCCATGAGACCCTGTATTGTTGAGAGAGGAAAGAAGGAAGGAAAAGGAACTTGCTGAGATGCTGCATCACGGTTTTGTATAGAAGCTTCAGGTCTGTGTCACTCAGGCATCACTTTTCCCCCTCTAGCTGCCTCCCAGGATCCCTACTCAAGATCTTTGCAGAGGGGGAGTCCATGTATTCAAGCCTGGAGAAATTTACTAGTCTGTCATCTATTCAATAGATACTTGCTGACTATCAGGCACTGTGCTTAGGTAACTAGAAATGGAAAGATGAATACACTGCTCCTGCCTTCACAGAGAGTTCTAAACCAGCAAGACATCAAACATAAAATGCATCCTGTGTTTTCTTTATTCTAAAATGCTTGTTTCTCTATATTTTAATTTTTCTAAAGTCAGGAATTTCTTACAATTGTGTATATTTATGCAGTGAACCCTCTTTTAAGCAAATACTCATTTTCTTCTTTTGACTCTAGACAGCTAGTGCTAAGATGATAGTGTACACAAGAATCACATGCAGTAGTCACTGGACATGCAGGTATTGGTGGTACCTAGAGAGGTCTGGGATCAGATTGAGTGTGTGTATGTGTGTGGGTAGGGTGTTGTGCAAGTTCATCAAGCTTCTAGGCAATTCTGATGCAGGTGGTCTGTGCTGGACTGTACTTTGAGAAACTGCTGCAGACAATCAAGAAGTTTGTAACCTGCACATTAGAATCACCTGAGGATCTTTTCAAATAACCAATACTCAAGCCAAACTCCAGATCAATTAAACCAGAACCTCTGGAGGTGGGACGCAGGCAGCAGTATTTTTGATAGCTCCGCAGGTGATACCCAAGAATCTTCAAGTGTGAGACCCATGGCTATTAGAAGGTTGAGGAAGAACAGTGCTTCTGAAACTTCCCTGGGTGTATTAATCACCTGGGTTCTTATTAAAATGCAAACTCTGATTCAGCAGGTCTGGGGTGGAGACTTGGGATTCTGCTTTTCTGAAGGCTCCCAGGGAAGGCTGATGCATGCATGCTGCTGGGGCATGGACCACATTTTGAGGAGCATGGGAAGATGTAGAGCCAGTTCAGAGTTTTCAAGATAATGACAGTTCAGAGATGTTTTATTTTGCCTATAAGAGCACCCTCTCTAATATGCCCCAAATTGGAGTGCATGGAGTGGACCAGCCGCATCAGAATAATTCAGGAGCCTGGTACAGATAAAGATACAGATTGCTGGGCTCACCACTGGAGATTCTGAGTCTATCACCAATAATGATATTAGTAGCACTATGTATGTGCTGGACTTTTCGTATTTAGTATCAGCTTATTTAATCCTCACTACAGCTCTATGAAATAAGTAATATATTATTTCCTCCATGATTAAACTGTGGCTTGGAGGGTTGAGTACTTTTCCCTAGGTCTCATTTAGTAAGAGACTACTCAGTGTAGTAAGCTCTATTTTTACTAGATGCTGTAAACCTTAGATGCTGAAACCTTATCGCTGTGGAAAAGGAAATCTCAAATAAAGGTATTTCCTGAAAGGATGACCATAGCTATGAACATATTTGTATTAAATTAAATATGAATCTGTCTATTTGCGTTTAAGAAATGAACATGCATTTAGACAAAAAAACGCTTCAATTTTAGGAATAAGAAAATTGTATATAACAGAAAAGGTAGCAAATATTTTAAAGAGTGTCTTTGAAATAATACAGTAATTATCTGATAAGACCATAGTAAAATTCATTTTCAGAGATTGAGCAGATTAAGACTACTTAATTGTCCTTCAAAAGGAAATAGAAAAAGTTTGGTACATCAATACAATGGAATGCCATTCAGCCATGACTCACAATGGTTGTAGAACATTTACTGGCATGGAAGACAGTTCATAATACAATAAGAGATATAAAGCAATATTTAGGCCAGGCGCAGTGACTCATGCCTGCAATCCCAGCACTTTGGGAGGATAAAGCCAGTGGATCACTTGAGACCAGGAGTTCGAGACCCAACCTGGCCAACATGGTGTAACCCTATCTCTACTGAAAAAATACAAAAAATTAGCAGGGTATGGTAGCACACGCCTGTCTGTTGTCCCAGGAACTAGAGAGGCTGAGGCACTAGAACTGCTTGAATCCCTTGAGGTGGAGGTTGCAGTGAGCCGAGATCATGCCACTGCACTCCAGCCTGGGTATAGAGTGAGACTCTGTCTCAAAACAACAACAACAAAGACAGTATTTACAGCATCATCCCATGTTTGTTTCAAAGTCCTAGTAATTAAAATATATTTATGCAAAGAATAAGGTTATGGGCAATTATATACCAAGATGTTAATAGTTCTCTCAGGATAGTGGGGTTATAGATATTCTTCTGAATATTAGTTAAGCTCCTACTTTGTGGCTGATACTATACCAAGCATTGTGGGAAATAAAAGGGAGTGTTTAGGGTGATTTCATCCTTACAGAACTAACTGGATCTAGATTTAACAAAAACGTGTCAGCCGTGTTTTCATTTAACCCATGCTATGTTTATGAAGGAAACCTATGGGTCAATTTATGGTTCTCTGCCAGCAATTTCTCTCCCTCACCCCTACTCACTCTACATCCTTCCTTCCTTTCTTCCACCCATTTATCCATCCGTCTACTTTGTTATTCAAAAACATTCACCTAGTGTCTGCTCTGTATTTATGAACTAATCGTGGAGAGATGAAAAAGATAATCTCTGCTCTCCAGATGCTCTTTGTCTTCCTTTTTTTTTTTTAAATAAGCTTTATTTTGGGATAATTTTAGATTTACAGAGGATAGTGGCAAAGACAGTACAGAGAATTACCATATACCTTCACCCGGTTTCAGTTTTCTCTAATGTTGTCACATTATATCACCACGTTTCATTAGTCAAAACTAAGAAGCCAGAATTTTTACATTACAATTAACTCAACTCTAGACATTTCCAGTTTCACCAGTTTTTTCCTATAATACCCTCTTTCTGTTTAGGATCCAGTCCAGGATACCACATTGCAATTCGTTGTCATGTCTCCTCCTTAGTTTCCTGTGATCTGTAATTGTTTCTCAGGCTTTCTTTGATTTTTTTGATGACCTTGACATTTTTGAGGAGTACTGATTAGTTATTTTTATAGAATGTCCCTTAATTTGCGTTTGTCTGATGTTTTCTTGTGATTAGACTGGGGTTATTATGGGTTTTTGGAAAGAATACCACAGAGTGAAGTACCGTTATCACGTGATATCCACATGACATCCTTGGTAATATTAAATTGATTACTTGGTTAAGGTAATATTTGCCAGGTTTCCCCACTGTAAAGTTACTGTTTTTTTCTTTGGAAGTAAATCACTAATTCCAGCTACCTTTAAGGAGGGGAAGGGTTAAATTTTGCTTCTGAAGAGGGCAGTATTTGCATATATTGTTTGGAAATTTTCTTTAAGGAAGACTTGTCCCTTCACATTTATTCCATTCTTTATTTATATCAATGTGGACTCATAGATACTTATTTTATACTTTGGGTTATAATTCAACATCATATTATTTATATTGTTGTACAAATTGTGCCAGCCTTGGCCATTGAGAACTCTTTCAGTTGGTGCCTGTTTCCCCTTGGCATGCCCCAATTCATTTGTTTTTTGAGCACCTCCTTTCCTGGTATTATAGGATGCTTCAAGCTTCTCTTGTATTTTCCCTGCCTGAGCCCTAGAATTAACAGTGTGTCCAAGGAGCCCTGATTTCTTTTCTTGGAGAATGGTATTTAGAAGTCAGTATCTGGGTGCTGGATGCTCATTGTCTTTGAAAGGAAGGAGACAGAAAAATGAAAAATGTTATATACAAGATTCAAAGAGCTATGGAAGCAGCAAGGACAGGTTAACTACTTCTGCCAGGAGAAGACTTCACTGAAGAAATGGTATTTTAAATTGAGTAGAGTTTTCCAGATGAAGATCAGGATTGGAGTGGGATGGGAAAGGGAAGGGAGGAAATATATGTTAGCAAAATCAAGGGTAACTGGCTGTTTAACTTGATCTGATTGTAGACTTACATTAGTAGTGGCCCTTCTTTGATTTTCTCATTGCATAAAAATGAGTCAGTTTCACAGATTGTATTTCTTTGTTTACAAGAGGATTTTCTCTGCAAGCCCTCTTGACTGTCCTCCTTCATTCCCCATCTTCCTTCTAGTCTTTTTTCCTTCTAAATGTATTTAGCTCCTACTTTCTGCCAGGCCCAATGCAAGGCACAGGGATGCAGACAAGAATTTGATAACCCCTGCCATCAAGAAGTTCTGTAGTCCAGTGTGAGATCCTGTGGCTTTCTTCTCCTCCCCTTAGCCCTTTACCAGATGTCTAATTTTTAAGGCTTTGCCGAAAGCATAAAAAAAACAAAGAGGAAGTATGAGCAACATCTGTATTGTGAAGCTGAGATGATACTTGACTCACTCAGAAAGTCTTTTTTGTTCACAGATAACAATTGGTGTATATGATCCCTGTAACTTAGCCCAGTACCCTGGATGGCCTTTGAGGAATTTTTTGGTCCTAGCAGCCCACAGATGGTATTTACAAGAGTGTGTGTTTGTCTGTCTGTCTGCCTTTGTCAGTATGTGTTTTACAATGTGTCCGTTTCTATTTGTATCTCTGTTTTCCTAAATGCTTTTTTTTTTTTTTTTCCCCCATTTTGGGCATGGAAATCAGGTAATCAATAAATCAGTCATAACCCAATTTCCATACTAGTGAACCTTAAGCAGGTCTGTTAGGGACCTGCATACTCTAATCATTCTGTGCTAAAGATGTTTTAGCATATGGTAGAGTTGGTAGCCAGAGGTCCTGACACAAATTCTGTAGCCCTCCCTTCTGGCTGTCTGGGTTTCTTTCAGATAGGATTTTCCTACTGCTGTCATTCTCCATTTTTTCTTAACCCTAAAACAGTTAAAACAGAGGATATCTTAAAAGCCAATATATATTTGAAAAGATGCCCAACATCATGTCATTAAGGAAATAAAAATTAAAACCATAATGAGATGCTACTACATATCCACCAAAAGTATTTAACAAAAACGTCCATACCAAGTGTTGTCGAAGATGTGGAGCAAATACGGCTGGAAAAATGTTGGGCAGTATCTACCAAAATTAAAAATATCTATGGCTCAGCAATGTTACTCTCAAGTATATTACTCACTGAAATACATACATAGATAGAAGCAAAACACATATACAAGAATGTTTACAGAAGCATTATGCTCAATAACTAAAAACTGGGAATAGTCCACATGTTCTTCAATAGTGAAATGAATAATAAATTTTAGTATATCCCTTACAATGAAATGCTGTATTACAATGAATCTGAGTGAACTATTAATACAGAAATCAACATGAATGAATTTTAAAAACATAGTATTAAGTGAAATAAGTTGGACCTAAAATAATACGTACTCTATGATTCCATTTATGTAAAGTTAAAATAGGCAAAACCAATATATGGACTTAGAGTAGTTGTTACTTTTGAAGGCAGTGGTTAATGACTGAGAGAAGGCATGAGACAGCCTTCTTTATACTTGGGATTTGTGTAATGTGTCTGCTTTACTTAAATAAAAATGTTTATTTAAAAAATGAAGATAGATAAATTATAGATTGTGCTGTGAGAGAGACAATCCACAATTATCCAGGTGGTAAGTCTACACAGTGCAAATGGGCTTCCTAACTACTGACTGAGGTGCTACTGCTTAATATGGAAGTTCATATGGGGAGAGCGGAGGGAACCAAAAGAACCCACGAGTTAAAGAGTTTTTTTTCTAAATGTCTTGTGAGCATTTTTTCCTTGCATTTAAAAGATTTATTTGTCAGAATTATTTATGTGCAATATGACTGTAATATAAAATTCACCTAGAAAGAAATCACAACTAATTCATTGTTTAGCCTCTAAACACTTGGACAGAGGAACCGTATATGAATATGTTCAAAAGAGTTAAGGCCATCTCCTGTGGGTATCAGAGAGGCATAATTACAATGCATTGAATTCTCTCCAACTGGTTTGCTGAAGCTCTTATGTGAGCTTTTTCTTTTCCTTCCTTTAAAAAAAATAATAAATAAATAAAAATCCGGGCATGACAACAGGAGTAGCAGTTTCCAGTCTGTTGAAGTTCTTTGCTTCCGTGACCGTACCATGCAGGGGGCGCGAGACGTTGCCCACAGCATCATCTTCGAAGTGAAGCTTCCAGAAATGGCATTTAGCCCAGGTAATTTGCCGGTCTTTGAAAATGCATATAATTATCATTTATCAGAAACGGAACCAGGTTTACTTTCTTTTCATCCCTTCACAATGGCACAAGAAAGGAAGAGAAAAGTACAACTTGTACCTCTTTGCCAATGCAGACACCTACTTCGAACAGAGGGCACGCTCTGCTATTCAGACTGGAACAAAGGCAAAGATTGTGACCAGGAAATTTTCTCTAGGCAGTTTTTTCAGTCTTCAGGATTTGTTCCCCTCTGCTCCCCGTTTTCAATTTTACTTTTGTTTAACACAAAATCTTTATTCCTGTCCATTCTTAAAGGAAGGATGAAGATTAATGCACTTAAATATTTATTTGTTCTATAGTTTAAAGTTGTATGTGATCCTGTTCTCCATATAGCAAACCAGTCAGCAAAAATGCCATTTCTCCTTCCACATTTAATATCTTCATTTGATCCTTATGTGACAACTATCAGCTTTTATCCCCATTTTCTAAATTCAGAAACTTAGACTGAGAGACATTTTATCTATAGAGAGATATTATGTGTGTGTGTATATATACACATATATATATTTTTACGTATGTCACAGAGATGGAATACATACTCAAGTTTGAGTAAAATAAGGATATAATGCCCAGCTCCGGAAATACTTCTTATCAGGAATCCATGTCCTGTGTCAAAGTCAGAGTACAATGTCTGGCACATCGTAGGTGCTTTATAAATGTTATGTAAATTTCCTAGCTCACATAAAGCCCCGCACTTTTATACTTCTTGCCAGAATAATTCCTGATTTGATTTGTATGCTTTTGAGAGCACTTTCACAACATATATTATTATTATTATTTTTGAGGCAGAGTCTAGCTTTGTCACCCAGGCTGGAGTGCAGTGGCATGATCTTGACTCACTGCAGCCTCCACTTCCCAGGTTCAAGTGATTCTCCCGCCTTGACCTCCCAAGAAGCTGGGATTACGGGAGCCCGCCACCACGCCCTGCTAATTTTTGTATTTTTAGTAGAGACAGGTTTCACCATGTTGGTCAGACCGGTCTTGAACTCCTGACCTCAAGTGATCCACCCACCTTGGCCTCCCAAAGTGCTGGGATTATAGGTGTGAGTCACCAAGCCTGGCCTCACATGTATTATTTAACTTGTTGTTCCTCACACCATCCTGATGGTTCCAAGGCACATTTCTTTCCTTATGTCATAGATATGCCTTAAAATGTGTGTGTGTGATGGGGGAGGTGGTGTCAAAATCTCTTTCAAGGCTGGGTGTGGTGGGTCATGCCTGTAATCCCAGCACTTTGGGAGGCTGAGGCAGGTGGATCATCTGAGGTCAGGAGTTCGAGATTGGCCTGACCAACAAGGCGAAACCCTGTCTCTACTAAAAATATGAAAATGAGCGAGGTGTGGTGGCGGGCATCTGTAATCCCAGCTACTCAGGAGGCTGAGGCGGGAGAATCACTTGAACTTGGGAGGTGGAGGTGTAGTGAGCCTATTGCGCTGCTGCACTCTAGCCTGGGTGACAGAGCAAGACACTGTCTCAAAAAAAAAAAAATCTCTTCTGAGATATCTTTTCTAGAGTGCTAAAGTCAAAAGGATTCAGGACTGGCCCACATGACATTTTTTCAGCAGTTCTGTGCTCTAACATGGATGTCTTTACAGACTTCTCTGAAAGATTGACAGAGTACTTCCGTTTGATCAAAGGACGATGCTGCTTTTCAGTTTAGAGCCTTTGCCATTCTGCTGACTTTAGATATTTGCATTGGATGTAGCACCCTCTTCTGGCAAATTATAAAATAGCTCCTGTGTAATGTTAATTTACATGCTGTACCTTTGTTTTATTAAACCACACTTAAAGATAGTCGCAGGGGTATCCAATCTTTTGGCTTCCCTTGGCCACACTGGAAGAAGAATTGTCTTGGACCACACATAAAATACACTAACACTAACAATAGCTGATGAGAAAAAAAAAAAAAAGCAAAAAAATCTCGTAATGTTTTAAGGAAGTTTATGAATTTGTGTTGGGCCACATTCAAAGCCGTCCTGGGCTGCGGGTTGGATAAACGTGGTCTTGGGGAATGAGGTGAGAGTTAACTAAAAAGTAATGTGGGTCTGGTCTGTGTGTCTGACAAGCTGCCAGGCACCTTCCATGAGGCAATCACTTAATTCTGCCAACCACTCTGTGGAGAGGCAGTTTTCTTTACACTTTATGACAAAGTCACTGAGTTATTCTTACATCCTACTCTCTATGATAACGCTCATGCTTGATGATGCTGACTTTTTTTTTAATCTTTTTTTGAGATGGAGTCTTGCCCTGCCACTTGAGGCTTGAGTGCAGGTTCGCTTGTTGGCCAGGCTCGAACCCCTGACCTCGTGGTCCGCCAGCCTCAGCCTCCCGAAGTGCTGGGATTACAGGAGTGAGCCACTATGCCCAGTCACTTTTTTTTTGGAGACAGAGTCTCGCTCTGTCGCCTAGACTGGAGTGCAGTGGCAGGATCTCAGCTCACTGCAACCTCTGCCTCTGGGGTTCAAGCAATTCTCCTGCCTTAGCCTCCTGAGTAGCTGGGACTGCAGGTGCACACTGCCACACCTGGCTGTTTTTTTGTGTTTAGTTGAGATGGGGTTTCACCGTGTACCCAGGCTGGTCTTGAACTCCTGAGCTCAGGCAATCTGCCTGCCTCAGCCTCCCAAGGTGCTAGGATTACAGGCGTGAGCCACCGTGCCCAGCTGATGCTGACATTTAAACCTAGAAACCACACCTTACATTTCCATCTGAAAAAGGTTTTCTGACATCCAATAATGCCTTTAACATATCTTCTTTATGCCTGATATTTAATGTAGATTATTTAGCTTAGGAAAGGCAAATGAATTTCCTGTTTTTCATGTAAATTAATATGTTCCCTCTTAGCTGTAAATAAAACTTTATGGTAAATACAGCTTTATAAAGAATTTTTCTATATCATAATGTAAACTGAAAATATAAGTATGGTTGTACTTTTCAGTACTTTTAAGACATCCCATAGTTGCCATGGTAATGGTATAAGGAGTATTATTTTAAATTATTTTATTTTATTTTATTTTTTGAGACAGGGTCTCGACCTGTCACCCAGGCTGGAGTGCAGTGGCAAAATCATAGCTCACTGTAGCCTTGACCTCCCAGGCTCAAACCATCCCCCCAGCTTAGCCTTCTGAGTAGCTGGGACTACAGGGATGTGCCAACACACCTGACTAATTTTTGTATTTTTTGCAGAGACAGGGTTTCACTAGGTTGCCCAGGCTGGTCTTGAACTCCTGGGCTCAAGCAATCCTCTAGCCTCAGCCACCCAAAATGCTGGGATTACAGGTGTGAGCTACCTTGTGCAGTCGTGGAGTATTATTTTAAATATCCTATGTCTTCTTTTGCTTCCTCATGGTGTGTTGCAGCTCTGGCACCTGGTGGGGGAAGATGGCAGACACTGCTGAGGGTAGAGATTCCATCATCTTAACTCTGGTTTTTCCTGTGCTCCTCCTGCTTGCCCACTATGGGAGACAGCCCCTAATTTTTCCCTAAAAAATATTTTCTTGGCCAGTCGTGGTTGCTCACGCCTGTAATCCCAGCATTTTGGGAGGCCAGGGCAGGCAGATCATGAGGTCAAGAGATCGAGACCATCCTGGCCAACGTGGTGAAACCCCGTCTCTCTACTAAAAATATAAAAATTAGTTAGGCATGGTGGCGTGCACCTGTAGTCCCAGTTACTCAGGAGGCTGAGGCAGGAGAATTGCTTGAACCCGGGAGGCAGAGGTTTTAGTGAGCCAAGATAAGTGCCACTTTACTCCAGCCTGGCAAGAGAGCAAGACTCTGTCTCAAAAAACGTATATATATATGTTTATATATATGTTTATATGTATTATATATTTATCATTTAATTTGGTGTATGTCTTATCGGTATAGATTATATGGAGGCAGGTATGGTAAATCAAATACTATTGCCATATGTGGTATTTTTTTCATTATTAAGTTTAAGGAGCATCTGATTTTCTTAGAAATGGCTATAGCCTTTATTATTATTATTATTATTTTGAGAGATGAGGGTCTTCTTATGTTGCCCAGGCTGGCCTTGAACTCCTGAGCCAAATCCTTCCTCCTGCAATCTTTCGTCCTGCCTTAGCCACCCAAGTAGCTGGGACTACAGACATGAGCCCAGCATCTGTTACCTTTTGAGTATAGAGAGCTTTTAATTGAAATTATGTTTTATTTTTGTCTAATAATTTCTTACCTGTAACAAGAGAAAACCTAGGCTGGAGTTATGGATGACAGTACTAGGCTATGATTCTGTAGTTCTTGTCAAGTTCCTGTGCTATGTATCAGAGACACATTAAAAAAAAAAAAAAAAACAAACTTGTATTTTCCGTTCAGGGTATATGTGGTTTGTTATATAGGTAAACTTGTTTCACAGGGGTTTGTTGTACCAATTATTTGATCACCCAGGTACTAATACCTAGTACCTAGTATTTTTTCTGATCCTCTCCCTTCTCCCACCCTTCACCCTCAAGTAGGCCCCAGTGTCTGTTGTTCCCCTTTGTGTCCATGAGTTCTCATCATTTAGCTCCTACTTATAACTAAGAACATGCAATATTTGGTTTTCTGTTCCTGCACTAGTTTGCTAAGGATAATGACCTCAAGCTCCATCCATGCTCCTGCAAAAGACATGATCTCATTCTTTTTTGTGGCCACATTGTATTTCATGGTGTATGTGTACCACATTTTCTTTATCTAGTCTGTCACTGATGGGCATTTAAACTGATTCCATGTCTTTGCTGTTGAGAGACACATTTTTAATTCAATCTAAGAATAGTAATAAAATCAAACAAAATATCAATTAGTAGCAGGTGAGAACTGTTTCTTTTCCCCACAGAAAAACAATTCTGAAGTCTTAATCTCTTTATGAAACTCAAATCTGACAGGGTGTGGTGGCCCATGCCTGTAATCGAAGCTGCTCCAGAGGCTGAAGCTGGAGGATCACTTGAGCCCAGGAGTTAAAGAATAGCTTCAGCAACATAGCAAGACCCTGTCTCAAACAAGAAAACTCTATTTTTTCAGTTTTAATTTTTCATGGCATTAAAAAATACCGCATTAGAGTGCCCAATTTAAAATGGGGAAGGACGTTTGCTTTCTGGCTTCTTGCTGTGAATGATACCCCCAGCCAAACTGGGGCCCAAGTAGCTTTCAAGGATAATTGGCCCTATGGTTTCTCATTGGTCATCCTATCCCAGAAACAAAAGATCGTGTAAAGGGAATCTCAGTACCTTCTATGTCCCATAATTATATTGGGCAATACTTTTTTTTTTTTTTCTTTTAATGTCAAAAGCTAAAAAGTTTCCCAAGGAAAGGAAAATTGCAATCTTGATAGAAATTCAAAAGTAGGAGAATGGACAAAGAAAACCAGTGTACAGGCCAAGTGTGGTAACTCACGCCTGTAATCCCGGCACTTTGGGAGGCTGAGGCAGGTGAATCACGAGCTCAGGAGATCGAGATCATCCTGGCTAACACGGTGAAGCACCATCTCTACTAAAAATACAAAAAATTAGCCGGGTGTGGTGGCGGGCGCCTGTAGTCCCAGCTACTCAGGAGGCTGAGGCAGGAGAATGGCGGGAACCCAGAAGGCAGAGCTTGCAGTGAGCCAAAATCGTGCCACTGTACTCCAGCCTGGGCAACAGAGCAAGACTCTGTCTCAAAAAAAAAAAGAAAAGAAAAGAAAAGAAAAAACCAGCGTACAATTAGAAACAAAATTAAAATTCCCCCTCCCAGTCCCATACATCTTAATTTCAAGTCAAGGAGTTTCTGTTCCTGCAGAGTCTGTTGCTTAAGGCAGACTGGAGGTGATGCTGGAAGTGTAGGCTGTGGCGGGGTGAATTTCTTGCTTAGGAGTTCAGGCTTTATTGTGAGCAGTAGGAATTCAATGAGAAAAGGGGAGCAGCATAGGTCCTGAGATGTAGGGAGCCCAAGAGGGTGGGTGGATCCACTAGCAAGATTTACAAGGCTGTGGTTCCACCAAGGCAAGCAGAGCTTTCATTAACATGAGGACGCAGGCGTGTCCTACAAAGCAATTGAGATGTTTAAGAGAATTTTGCAACAGTAGAATAGAGCAGTGTTTCCTTTGAGATTGTAATTGGTATGCAGGGAAATGAAGGGAGATATCGAGAGCCATGTAAGTTCGGGAAACACAAAGCCAAATCAAATCACGTGGGTTCTGTACTGCAGGTTTCTCAGAGCTTTTATCTCCCTCATGTGCCATGTGAATGGCCAGGTTTGAGTGGTATTGGGGGGCTGGAGATAGAAGATAGATATAAGTATAGAAGCATTTCCCAAGTCTGTTTAGCTACAGGATCCTTATCCTCTGAGATTATTGAATAGGACACACTTTGGGAACTGCTAGAATTGGAGTTAATTGGAGTTACAGAGGCTCCCATAGCAGGGATTAAAAGGGCAGCGGGGAAGGGAGAAGTCAGGGAAGGGAAAGTTCTGAATGGATAAAGATGAGCTTAAAGGAAAGGGCAGCTTAATCAAAGGACAGTCACCTTGGATTATGATCTGCTCACAGGTGCAGTGACAGAAAGGCTGAGCAGGGGGACATGGTAAGGATGAGCAACAGAAGGTACATACTGAATTTACAGATTCAGATCCCAAAAGGAACTTCAGTGAAGGTGTGCTGCAGTTACATTGGCTTGGCTTGCTTAGATAGAAGCCTCAGTGGGGTTATACCTACCCCAGATAAGACTGTCTTTTTTTTTTTTTTTCCCAGCAACTTCCAGTAACAGTGAAAGTTGAGGCACCTTGGGCCAGAGTTGAGGACTATTTCAGAAGCTCCTGTACAGGAAGATTGCTTGGGTTTGATGGTCCCTAAACAAGACTCCCAGTAGTTGAGAAAGATGGGGAGGCAACTGTAGCAAGTCCATGGAAATTCAGGCCCTCAGGTCTCTTTTAGAAAGAAGCAAACCAAAAGCTTGTCAATGCATGGGCCATTATGAATGTCGATCCTTTTTATACAAGGTCGCTGCTTGATCTGTTTGTTTTTATTCTTCCCTCCTTCATTAAGCTTTGTGTTTTATTTGCCTTAAGATTGTCCTAAAGCAGTTGGATGGGAAAAGAACCAGAAAGGAGGCATGGGACCAAGGATGGTGAACCTCAGTGAATGTATGGACCCTAAAAGGTAGATTTGGGAAGCTGTTTTCTCCAGTCAGGCTTGTAACCAAGACACACACCAAGTTCTGTCAGGCCAACACAACATTGTGTAATTCAGCCCAGGGGGTGCCAGTCATGCTGCCATGTGTTATCCTGCTCTTGAATTGAAGTTGGGTTGTGAGAATTAATATTAACAATGCATATCCTGAAGGGCAGACTGTTCATCTGTTCTAGACATTTTAAATTTTGTTCTTCTTTCAAGCTCATGCTCTCAGACCACCAGTGTACCTGTACTGTCTTTCAGTCCTTTATGCATTGTCCTCTGGCTTGGTCCTATTGGCTCACTTCTCCCTGTGCCCCAGACGGAGTCTTGCTCTGCACAGGCTGGAATATAAGGGTGCAATCTCTGCTCACTGCAAGCTCCGCCTCCTGGGTTCAAGCGATTCTCCTGCCTCAGCCTCCTGAGTAGCTGGGATTACAGGCACACGCCACCACACCCAGCTAATTTTTTGTATTTTATAGGGACAGGGTTTCACTGTGTTGCCCAGGCTGGTCTTGAACTCCTGACCTCGTGATCCACCTGCCTCGGCCTCCCAAAGTGCTGGGATTACAGGCATGAGCCACCACGCCCAGCCCTTATTGGCCCACTTTGAAGGATATTAGAAGAATTATTTCATGGAAACCACTATTGTATTTAAGGGCGAATCTGAGTGCACTCTTTTTGTTTGTTTGTTTGTTTGAGACAGTTTCGCTCCTGTTGCCCAGGCTGGAGTGCAATGGCATGATCTCGGCTCACTGCAACCTCCACCTCCCGGGTTCAAGCGAATCTCCTGCCTCAGCCTCCTGAGTAGCTGGGATTACAGGTGCCTGCCACCACACCCAGCTAATTTTTGTATTTTTGGTAGAGACAGGGTTTCACCATGTTGGCTAGGCTGGTCTCGAACTCTTGACCTCAGGTGATCCACCCGCTTCGGCCTTCCAAAGTGCTGAGGTTACAGGGGTGAGCCACTGCCTGGCCTGAGTGCATTCTTTATTAAGGAGATATGAGAGAAATTTCTGTTTTCAGTACTAGGAAAAACTTTCCTCTTAATCAAATGGTGTGTTCTTATTCGTGGACACCATGATTCCTATAACCGGTCATGCTCTTCCCTTTTCACCTTGGCTGCTGGAACTCAGTATCAAATTTGTGGCCCCCTCATTGCAGAGGACTCCAACAGCATGCTGCTGGGGGTAACCTTTCTCCTCCCTGCTTACCCTCCAGCTTCATTTTCTTTTTCATTTGATCCCAATTTCCGTATTATTTCTTATTTTCTCACATAGCCACTTGAAATCTTTCAGAACAAGATTATTGCACAAATGAGAGACTGAATAAGTAAATCTCTCCTTTTCTAGGTTAGCTGAGTCATCAGTGGATCTAAATCTCAAACTGATGTGTTGGAGATTGGTTCCTACTTTAGACTTGGACAAGGTTGTGTCTGTCAAATGTCTGCTGCTTGGAGCCGGCACCTTGGGTTGCAATGTAGCTAGGACGTTGATGGTAAGTAGGAGGTGGGGGGTGCAAATGGCACCTTTGAAATTGTAGCTTCTCTTCTTGTTTTACTCTTCATGATTGCCTTCCATCTCCCAGCTCTCCATCCCCTCCATCTCTCCCTCCCTTCCTTTTTCCTTTTCTTATCTTTTTAAGTGTAAAAGAAATACAAGCTTTTATCATCAGATAGAAACAGAAAGTCCTCCACACCCATCGCAAGTCCCATTTCCTGTTAAGCTGACTTTGTAGATTAGTATGCAGCCTGTTTCCCAGATGTTATTGTAGACATATCTAAATATAGAGAAATGTTTATCTTTGCTGATATTTATTTATATTTATGAAAATTAGATCATAGCATACTATCTATAACAGGTTTTTATTTTTAACTAGATAGAAAAATGACTGTGGCTACCTTTCTGTGTTTCCATAGTATGTATATGTGGTATTTTGTTGTATGACTATGTTCTTTATTTAATCAATTTCAGGTTACTTTCTATTTTTTTCTATTAGATACTGTTCTCTATTAGAGAACATTCTTTTACTTGTATGTTTATTCATCTATAGGATTTTTTTTTATTTTAGGAAGAAAGCCCTAGTCATAGAATTGCTATGTTAGAGAGAGTTTAGAATTTGAATGTAAATATTTTATTTATGTTTGTCATTATTATTTTTTTTTTTTTGAGTCAAAGCCTCACTCCGTCACCCAGGCCGGAGTGCAGTGACATGATCTCAGCTCACTGCAACCTCCGCCTCCTGAGTTCAGCGATTCTCCTGCCTCAACTTCCTGAGTAGCTGGGACTACAGGGGTACACCACTACACCTGGCTAATTTTTGTATTTTTAGTAGAGACAGGGTTTTGCCATGTTGTCCAGGTTGGTCTTGAACTCTTGCCCTCAAGTGATCTGCCTGCCTTGGCCTCACAAAGTGCTGGGTTTACAAGTGTGAGCCACCATGCCTGGTCAAAATTTTTTTTCAAACGAAATTGCCTTCCAAAAATGTTACACATATGAGACATAGAACTTTTTTCCACACTCTTGCCAAAATTGGATATGTCAACTTTTGAAATCTCAGTCAGTTAAGTAACATTTATTGTTTGAATTTGCATTTCTTTAATTAGCAAGGGTGAGTTTAATTTTGTTTCTTTTGTGAGTTTTATTCCTTTGATTCATGTTCTTTGGGTTGTGTCTTTTATTGATTTAGAGTTCTTTTTATTGGGGCAATTAACCTTTTTTCTGTATTATGATACAAATGTTTTTCTCAGTTTATCTAAGGTATCTTTAGCCATATAAAAGTTTTTTTCAGCTTTATGTTATTATATGTGTCAGTCTTTTCCTTTGTGGCTCATGGAACTCTTGTTTTTATGTTAGAGCTTTATGAATATGGAAATTGTTTGGTTATATGATGAGGGGTAAAGATCTAGCTACTTTTGCACAAAATGGATTGTTAGTTGTTTTAATGGCATTTATTCAGTAATCTAAATCATTTTTCTGTCTTTATCAAATGCTAAACCCCCTTACATACGTGAGTCTCTTTATGGATTCTCTATTTTGACTCATTGATCTATTTTTTTATTCCTATATTCATACTCACTGTTTTAGTTGAAATTACAATGATTTTATAGATAAATTAGAAGGAATTGATGTATTTTTATGACATTAATCCTTAGTTCTGGAAGCATAGTGTATCTCTTAATTAGATCATCTTTGTCTTTCAGTAGTATTTTCTTTATATAGGCCTTGCACGTATCTAATTTAGTTTAAATATGGTATTTCTACATATTTAATGATGTTTTTTCCTTTAGAGATATTTTCTCCCATTAAACTTTCCAGTTGACTATTACTGGGATGTAGGAAAAATAGTGAATTTTGCATATTTATCTTTGGCCATCTTTCTAAGCTCTCTTAGTTCTAAGAGTTTTTTATTCTTTTGTAGCTTAATAGTATTCCTCACCAACACTTATATCTTTCTTTTCCTTGTCTTATAAGACTGGGTAGAACTCCACAGTAATGTAGACGAATGGCAGTGAGAGTTGTTATCTTTGTTTTGTTGCTGACTTTAATGAGAGTGCCTCTTGTTTTTACCTTTAATTTTGATATTGGTTTCTGGTAAGTGTTCTTTATAATTTAAAGAAGCTGATTTCTGCTTCCGCATGTTTATATCAGAAATGTTGAGCTTTATTAACTATGTTTATCAAGACAAAGTATTCTAATGTTGAGCATTCCTAGAATAAACCCTATTTGTACACGGTATCTTATTCTTCTCATATACCCTTGAATTCAATTATTAATGTTTTGTTTTTAAATGTTACATCTCGGCTGGGCACGGTGGCTCACACGTGCAATCTCAGCAGTTTGGGAGGCCAAGGTGGGTGGATCGTTTGAGCTCAGGAGTTCGAGACCAGCCTGGACAACATGGCGAAATCCCATCTCTACAAAAAAAAAAAAAAAAAAAAATTAGCCAGGCTGTGGTGGCGCGTGCCTGTAGTTGCAGCCGCTCGGGAGCTGAGGTGGGAGGATTGCCTCAGTCCAGGAGGTTTGAGGCTGTAGTGGGCTAAGATCGTGCCATGCTCTCCAGCCTGGGAGACAGAACAAGACACTGTCTCAGTCAACCAATCAATTAATCAATAAATTTTACATCTCACTTCATAAGTCAAATTGGTTTATCGTCATATTATTCCTTGTTCTATCTGTATATTTTATAGCTACATTATGCTAGCTTTATAAAATAAACTTAAAAAGTTCTGCCTTTTTTAAGCTCCAGAACAGTTTAAATAAATGAATTATCTGTTCCTTGATGGTTAAGTAAAATTCAGTTATAAATCCGTCTGGGCCAGATGCATTTAAGAATTTTGTTGGTTGGGGCAGTGGGGGTGCTGGGAATCTGTGAACTTCTACATATGTTTCTGGGTTGACTCACCTTTTTAGATTTTGTACTGCTTTTCTGGCTTTAAAAATTAATTGATATAAAATATATATGGTATTCTCTTATTTTTTAAATCTTGTTTTTATCTTTTAAAAAATCTTTTCATATTCCTAATGTTGTATATTTGTGTTTTCTCTTTTTTTCTCATATTCAGCCTTGCTAGAGAAGCCTGTCTATTTTATCAGTCTTTTTGGAGCATTACTTTATTTATTCTATAATTTTTATTTTCTGTCTCATTTTGCTTTCAGATTCATAAATATCTATTTTTATCTTTATTAATTTTTTCTTCCTTCTGTGGAATTTATTTTACTGTCTTTTTCTAGGTTCTAGAATTATTAGATGCTTAGATTTTCCTTACATTTTTCAAAATTGCGAAGTCAACATAAAGCCATTATAGAAAATTTGTAAAGTATAAAAGTCATAAAGCAGAAAAGAAGACGCTCATTTTCCTACTGCTTTTTCACTTGTTACTTTTCAGTGTTTAATATGTATTTTAACATTTTATTAGATATATAATGTCCTTTATTAGATATATAATAATGTCCTTTGCTGTTACCAATTAACATGTCATTTTATGCCTGTCTATGAGGCCTTCTTTTTATTTTTTGAGACAGAATCTGGCTTTGTTGCCCAGGCTGGACTGGACCTTGTGATCTTCCCACCTCGGCCTCCCAAGTAGTCGGGACTGCACGAGTTCACTGCAATGTCTGCTAAAGCTTTATGACTGTAGAATATGCCTTCTTATATGATGAAACATAACTTACTGAACCCTTCTCCTAATGTTTAGCATTAACATTGTTTCCAGTTTTTTACAATTGTAAATTGTGCTGCAAAGAACATCTTTGTGACTGCATCTTGGTCAGTATGTCAGATTACTTTTTAGGATAAATTGCTGGAAATAGGTCATAGGATATGGGTATTCTTAAGATTCTAGAAACATACTGCCAAATTGCTTTCCAGAAAGATTAGACAACTTTAACATTCTCAATCAGTAGGATGATTTTCTCCCTACCACATCCTCACCAGCATTGAGTATTGTGATTTTCTTTAATCTTTGCAGATTAGCCATTTAAACTGTGTAGCATTCCAGGAAAGCAAAAGTTAAGTTTGTGCAAATACACCTGCATGTGACTAACCTATGGCATGTTTGTAATGTATCTGGCTTTCTTCCCACTACCTAGCACGTTCCCAGACTGCCTTCCTTGCTATCCACTCATCAGTTGCTTTAAGGAATGCAAAAATACTTCAGAAATAAACATTCCCAAAGCAAGCACAAGTGACTTTATTCTCCCTCCATGGTAGGTTGCTTAGATGATGAAAATAATTTACAAAACTGGGTGGGTAGACCAAAAGGTTACCAGTGGGCTTCAAAACAGCCCGTCTAACCTATGCTTATGAAAGGCAGATTCTGGCCTGTTGTGCTCAACGCTGAAAACGAATCTTGGGTCCTCGAGGGCTGGACCTCTGAAACCTTCAATCTAATTGAGTCTCTCAGTTTCTAATGGAAAGATAATGAAATAAGAGAGACAGCAGAATCTTAGCCTTATAGCCAGTCATGGCAGGACATCTTTTAGGTCCGTATGCTTATTTATCATCTACTAAAATATACCCACTGTACCCTACCCCAAGAAGTAGGCAACTTCATTTGGTTGCAACTCTAGAGAGCTCATTCATTCCCACCATTAACCAGATGTATCCCTTAGGCAAATCACTTATCTTTCCTGGGCGTTAGTTTCCATATCTGTAAAACAAAGTAATTGGACTAAGGATTTTAGAGATCCCATCTACCTTTAAAATTGTATGGTTTTATAAAACTGTTATAGGAGACATAACTGAAGCCTATAAAACCGTGAAAACTATTTCTAAGAATATAGACTTGTTCCCTAAATTCCAGATTATTAATAAGGCTTTGTCTTTTGAAGAAATGGTACAAAATGTTCTAAAATATCATACAGTGGGAAATAATTTGTGAGTCATTTTTTTGAGGAGTTCATTCAGGCTTTAAATGAGCTTCAAGAGTAGTTGTTATTTATATTTAATTATTCGTTAAGGGAAATCAAGGACATTTATGGGCTATTGCTAATCTTTTTAAAATGACAGCATGGACAATTCTTATGGGATTCACCTCCAAATCTTTGGTGACACTGTCAAAAATAATGAATTATTAGTCTGTCCCACTCTGACATTTTTTAGTCTCATTGCTCCAGTAAGCCAGGCACTGAGTATATAATTATGTTGTTTTTTAAGGAAAGTCAACATTCTGTTTATCGTAACCTGAATTTGCACAATTCAGTTTCTGAAGTTTCTTGTGTTTTGAGGTTCCCAAGCTTCTCCAAACCAATATTCCTTTTGAGATTTCAAGAGACAGCACCCTGTGAAATGTTCATCAGAAACACACCATGATCTCCTGTTTCCACACAGGGTTGGGGCGTGAGACACATCACATTTGTGGACAATGCCAAGATCTCCTACTCCAATCCTGTGAGGCAGCCTCTCTATGAGTTTGAAGATTGCCTAGCGGGTGGTAAGCCCAAGGCTCTGGCTGCAGCAGACCGGCTCCAGAAAATATTCCCCGGTGTGGTATGTTGATGCTTTTGCGGAGGTTTTCTGTTACATCTATAAACGTTTAAGTCTTGGGAAATGAGGCCCTTGTGGCATTGAAGAAAGAGAATCAGACATCTGTCACTTTCTACCAGCCACTCACCGTGTGGCTGAGCCTCTGTTTCCTCATCTGAGAGAGGGATAAAAAAACATAACCTGCAATCCCAGTGTGTCTGGAGTTGGTTCCTTCTGGTGGGTTCTTGGTTTTGCTGACTTCAAGAATGAAGTTGCAGACTTTCACGGTGAGTGTTACAGCTCTTAAAGATGGTGTGTCCGGAGTTTGTACCTTCAGATGTGTCCTGAGTTTCTTCCTTCCGGTGGGTTTATGGGGTTCCTTCTGGTGGGTTCTTGGTCTTGCTGACTTAAAGAATGAAACTGAGGACCTTTGTGGTGAGTGTTACAGCTCTTGAAGATGGTATGTCTGGAGTTTGTTCCTTCAGATGTGTCTGGAGTTTCTTCCTTCCGGTGGGTTCATAGTCTTGCTGACTTCAAGAATGAAGCCGCAGACTTTCGCGGCAAGTGTTATAGCTTTTAAAGGTGGTGCAGACCCAAAGAGTGAGCAGCAGCAAGATTTATAGTGAAGAGTGAAAGAACAAAGCTTCTACAGCGTGGAAGGGGACCCGAGCAGGTTGCCACTGCTGGCTGGGGTGGCCAGCTTTTATTCCCTCTTTGTCCCTGCCCATGTCCTGCTGATTATTCCATTTTACAGAGTACTGATTGGTCCATTTTACAGAGTGCTGATTGGTGTGTTTACAAACCTTTAGCTAGACACAGAGCACTGACTGGTGTGTTTTTACAGAGTGCTGATTGGTGGGTTTACAATCCTTTAGACACAGAGTGCTGATTGGTGTGTTTTTACAGAGTGCTGATGGGTGTGTTTACAATCCTCTAGCTAGACACAGAATGCTGATTGGTGCGTTTTTACAGAGTGCTGATTGGTGCATTTGCAATCCTTTAGCTAGACACAGAGCACTGATTGGTGCATTTTTACAGAGTGCTGATTGGTGCATTTACAATCCTCTAGCTAGACAGAAAAGTTCTCCAAGTCCCCATTCAACTCAGGAAGTCCAGCTGGTTTCACCTCTCACCAGCACTTTGGGAAGCTAAGGCAGGAGGCTTACCTGAGTCCAGGAGTTTGAGACCAGCCTGGGCAACATAGTGAGACCCCATCTCTGTAAAATACAATTAGTCAGGTGTGGTGGTGGTGTGCATCTGTAGTCCCAGCTACGGTGGTGGCTGAAACAAAAGGATTGCTTGAGCCTGGGAGGTCAAGGCTGCAGTGAGCCATTGCACTCAAGCCTAGGTGACAAACCGAAACCCTGTCTAAATAATATAATAATAATAATTAATCTTTCTCACATATTCTTGTGAAAACAAAATGACGAATGTATGAAGAAATGGTTTGTAAGTTGCAAAGCATTATGAGTTTAAGTTGAGGAATTTAGGAGTGTATATTTTTTTATATCCTGCCTGGTTCCAAAGAGATTTGCAGTGGCTCAGATCTAAGATACTATTTTTCCTCTATCACCAGAATACTTGGTAGTTACTTAGTACAGATTTATGAAATTAAATTGAATGCAGGTCTTCAGGCAGAAGAAAGATTGGGCTGAAATTTAGCTTTTTGCTCTAGCTGCTTCTGGTTTTTGAGTTATATCATTAGAAATACCAGATAACAAGAGAAAAGTCTTTCAGCTCGTTTCATTTAAAATCTTGACAGTTTTCTTTTTTTAAGGTCAACCAGCAAACGATATTCTGCCTCTTGAATACTTAATCAGTTTATCTGACAGGAGTTAGATTAGGTGTCTCCAAAGCATTTGTTTATACTTAAAGTGCCAGAAGAGGTTCTCAGTCCTAACCAAAAAGAAAAAAAAGCCCACTTTCTCAAAGTTTCTCTCTTTAGTCACTTTGTATTAGATTCATCCATTTAAAAATCTTTGCTTTAGAAGCATTGGTAATGTTTTCGTCCATTTCACTAGAGTCCCTGAGGTACATCATTTATTGGGTTTAACAGTATTGATTCACCACCCGCTATGTAGCCAGCTATGTGCTAGATGCTGAAAAAAATAAGTTGCAACCCTGTCATTGAGGAGCCATATTAGTTAGATTTCTGCTGGGACAATATTGCATATCACGCAATCCCAAAATCTCAGTGGCTTACAATTGCAAACATTTATTTCATGTTCATGGTGTGCAGGTTGGCTGTGGTTCAGCTGTGTCACTAGGCTGAACTTACTCAATAAGCCACATAACTTGGAGTCAGGTTCCAGTCCATTGTGTTTGTTATTTTCAAAATCTAGGCTAAAGGAGGAACAGTCATTTGTGTCCTACTCTTCCTATGGTAGAAGGTTTAAGCTTAAAAGGGTTGGTGATTATTATGCCTTAAAGTCTTAGCTCAACAATGGTACAGTGTGATGTCTTCCATTTCTGTTACCAAAGCAAGTCACAGGACCAAGCCCAAAGTCATTAACATTAGTCGGTGTAGTCCTCCTAGTAGGAGGTCTTGCAAAGGTCATGTTGCAAAGAGTGAGGATATATAATATAATATTACTAGAGGGAGGAGGTGCCTAGTTGGGAAGAATAATCCAGTCTAGGCTGCGCACAGTGGCTGAAGCTTGTAAACCCAGCACTTTGGGAGGCTGAAGTGGGAGGAGATCGCTTAAGGTCAGAAGTTCGAGACCAGCCTGGGCAACCTAGTGAGACCCTAGCACAAAAAAAAAAAAAAAAGGAATAATCCAATCTATTATTGGAGAGTATTATGAACTCCCTTTAGGACCCAGACAGACCTAGCTTTGAACCTGAGCTCTGTCACTTATTAGATGCCTCAAATTTTTGTTTACCCAAATCCTAGTCATTGTCAGTGACCCAATACAGTTCTCCCTTCCCACTGTTTGTTTAATTGTTCTATTACTTACTTGCATGTCAAGTAGTGTATTTAAGACCTACTATGTTCCAGGGACAGGGGAACTAGACAGACATGTGGAGCTTAAAGTCTAGTGGGGGATGGTGATTAACAAATAATTTCACAAATACTTATCATTGTAATACATGCAGGAAGCAGGAGCTCAGTTGCCATGAGAATATATAACAGGTAGGCCTGACCTAGACGAGGGGTGGACTGGGAAGACTTTTGAGGAAACAAACCCCTGAAGGATGAGTGGGAGTTAGCTAGGTTGAGGGTAGCGGAGCTGTCTGTGCAAATGCCTGAGGTAGGATGAGCATGGTGCTTTTGTGGAATTGAAAGAAAACCAGGGTGGCTGGCTGCAACATAGAGGGCAAAGAAGATGAGGAGGAAGAGAAGGCTGAGGTGGGAGCAAGGACCGCCATGCTGGGCCTGAGAGAGCAAGTCCAACTGTTCTTGGAAACAGCCCTCCGGCATCAAGCCTCTTCCTTCACACTTACATCGTGTTACTCTGTTTTCCTTGTTGGACTAGTAAGTCCCCCAGGCCAGGGTCCAAGTCTTCTATACTTTTATTCTTCATGCCTTATAAATAATAGTAGATAATATATACAACCCATCGAAGTACTAGTGTGATTCATCACATTCATGAAAAATACTTGTGAAACTATTTAACTTATTGGTTAGCCAGCCTTAAGGGGCTTTCCTTATATGCTTGATTTAGTATAGTTTCTTCATTCAATGGATACTTACTCATCACCTTCTTTCTACCAGGCTATGGAGAAAAGGCTCGACCTAGGTAAACAAGACATGGTTCTGCCCTTATAGAACCTATATTTTATTGAATTATAATTGAAATACTAAATAAAAGGATAAGTAGACATTGCTCAGGAAATATAGAAGAGCAGGACCTGGACAGGTGTCAGGGGGCGGGGGCAGGGAAAGCCTTCTTAAGGAAGTGACATTTGGTCCGAGCTCTGAAGGAATTGATCAGAAGGGGTCTTGGGGAGGGAGGCAAGGACCAGAGAGTGGTGGGAAAGGCCAGGGACCAGGAGGAGCATTCCAGGGAAGAAAAGTGGCCTTTTGAAGGTAAGAACTGTGTTAAATGCAGACTTCCTAGATATCTGGTTACCTGGAAAAGTTAGAAAGATTAGTTTTATTAATGCAAGATTATCTAATTTGGGCTATCCCTTACTTGTTATTGCAAGATTCTCATCTCAATGCTTGAAGTCGAGTGATATGTGACTTGGAAAAGAAAAAAATAATGGGTGCAACCCTTTTAAAATGTTTAAATTTTGGTCCGGGCGCAGTGGCTGATGCCTGTAATCTCAGCAGTTTGGGAGGCTGAGGTAGGCGGATCACGAGGTTAAGAGATCAAGACTATCCTGGCCAACACAACAGGGTTTAGTGAAACCCTGTCTCTACTAAAAATACAAAAATTAGCTGGGTGTGGTGGCACGCACCTGTAGTCCCAGCTACTCAGGAGGCTGAGGAAGGAGAATCATTTGAACCAGGAGGTGGAGGTTGCAGTGAGCCGAGATCGCACCACTGCATTCCAGCCTGGTGACAGAGCGAGAGTCTGTCTCAAAAAAAAAAAAAGAACGAAAAAGTTTAAATTTTGAAATAGTAAATTCATAGGAAGTGATTTGATTTGGATGTCCTCTCCAAATCTCATATTGAATTGTGATCCTCACTGTTGGAGGTGGGGCGTGGTGGGAGGTGTTTGGGTCATGGAGGTGGATCCCTCATGTATAGTTTTGTGCCCGCCCCACATTAATGAGTGAGTTCTCGATCTCTTAGTTCACGCGAGCAAGAGCTAGTTGTTTGAAAGAGCCTGGCATCTCTCTTGCTCCCTCCCTTGCCATGTGATGCACCTGCTCCCCCTTCGCCTTTCACCATGAGTGGAAGCTTCCTTCATCAGAAGCAGATGCCAGCACTATACTTCTTGTACAACCTGGAGAACCACAAGCCAAATAAACCTCTTTTCATTTAATTGCCTCAAGTATTCCTTTATAGCAGTGTGAAATGGACTAACACAGGAAATACAAAGAAGTGTACCAGGAGGTCATGAGCACCCTTCACCCTGCTTCTCCTGGGTGACAGAACTCAAGGACAGGGTGGTTTCACTGAATAGTTGGCCTGAAAAACCTTAAACATTCCCTCAGAACTAGAGAGTTTGACTTTTGTTTTTTGCTCTAAAATATATTTATCCCAAACTAACTGTACTCTGGCCCCAGATCTTCCCATACCTCAAATGTCCAGCTCATAAGAAACCCTTGCAATTTATCTGTGTGGTATTCTTTGACTAATTCCTTCTCTTCTACTCCAGGATATAGGTGTCACATTGACCCTTTCCAGGTGCCTTTAAAAATGCTGTGATAAAATTACATGAAAAGAACTGCTCTGCTACAAATACCATACCTGATCTTGGGGAAGAGTAAATTGAATAAGAAAACAACTGATCTTTTATAAATCAAATAGCTATTTGAGGCAATAAGATGTTGGATTATGAGGCCGGGCACAGTTGCTTACGCCTGTAATCCCAGTGCTTTGGGAGGCTGAGGCGGGTGGATCACGAAGTCAAGAGATTGAGACCCATCCTGGCCAACATAGTGAAACCCCGTCTCTACTAAAAATACAAAAATTAGCGGGGCATGGTGGCGCACACCTGTAGTCTCAGCTACTGGGGAGGCTGAGGCAGGAGAATCGCTTGAATCCGGGAGTCAGAGGTTGCAGTGAGCTGAGATCACACCACTGCACTCCAGCCTGGCGACAGAGCAAGACTCCGTCTCACAGAAAAAGAAAAAAAAAGGTGTTGGATTATGGAGCCACACTTGAGGTTTTAAAACCCGAATTTGGACATCTGCTTCAACCCTGATGAGTAGTGGATACTGGACTAGCTCTGCCACCATAAACAATTACACACTGGGACAAAATATGTAAAATGACTCTTTTCAGACAGCGAACAGTAGGTAGTGAAAGACTGTGGTCCCAGACAGAGGGAAGGAAAGGTTTGTCCCAGCTTATTACATGAAGGCACTTTCTGGCCCATGCCATAGCCTGTGGGAGCCCAGGGAGATACTCTTGGTCTCAGTGAGCTGAAGGAACAAGTAGAGTTCAGAGCAGCTGAGGTGGCTGTAATTTGCAGGATATAGTACCAGAAATGAGGGAGCTGTGCGCAGGAGTGCCTGGTAGCACCTTGAGTCTTTGACTGAATAGTGAGCTGTGTGTACTCGCAGCACAACAGTCAGACCAGGCAAAAACACACTACCAGAGAGCTATGAGCAGAATGGAGATTCCAGAGCTCACAGGAGCTGGGAGACACTGGAGTCCTGTATACAGAGTGGAGAGACCTCATTGAATACTCTGAGCCTTTAAGTGACACCCAGAATGGCCCCTATAAAGTTTCTAGGGGAAAGCATCTTAGTGGTCTTGTGATAAAGATTTCTTAGGACCTAGTAAATACCATAAACAAAAAATGGTAACTTGGTTGACTTTATACAAATTTAAAACTTCTGCTTCTCAAAAGATGCCTTTCAAAGAAGGAAAAAACTGACCAAACTGAGAAGACATGTGCAGTCCTCTTTTATCCAGAATATGCAAGGTAAACAACTCCTACCACTCAATAACAAGACACACAAACCAACTTTTTTTTTTAAGGGGAAAAAAGCTTGAACAGGTACTTAATTCATGGTGAAGATCTATGAATGGCTATTGAACATGTGAAAATGCTCAATGTCAATAGTCATCAGGGAAATACAAATTAAAACCAGAAAGATATATCACTTATACAACTACTTAAATGGCTAAGATTAAGAAGACTGACAATGCTAAATGTTGTCAGGGTGTGGAGCAAGCAAAACACTTATACACTGGTAAAATAACTACTTTGGAAATCTGGCTGTTTCTCATGAAATGTAACATATGCCTACCTTGTGACCCAGAAATTGTACTTTCAGATCTTTACCTAAGAGAAATGAGAACATATATACATGAAAATACTTATACAAAAGTGTCCACAGCAACTTTATTCAAAACAGCCCAAATCTAGAAATAACCCAAATCACCATCAACAGGAGAACTGATAAATAAATTATAGTATAATTACACCACAAAAGGAATGTATTATTGATACTTAACAATATGAATGAACCTCAAAAGCATTATGCCGAGCAAAAGAAACCAAACACGAACAATTGTATACCCTAGCATATCATTTATGTGATATGTTCTAGAATAGTCTAATCTATGGCTTATGAAGTCAGATCAGTTGTCATCTGGGGACAAGTGGGGACCAACTGAGGGGGAACACAAGAGCATGTTCTGGCATCATGGAAATGTTCTGTATCTTGATAGTTGTATGCAGTGGTTAATCTCTCATTTGTCAGAATACATTGAACTGTGCATGTAAGATCTGTGTATTTAACTTTATGTAAATTATACCTCAACCTGGCTGCACCTTTGAATCATCAGGGGAGTTTTAGAAAATATTGGTGCCTGGGCTCATTCCTAGAGATTTCCGTTTAAATGGTCTGGGAAAAAGCTTGGCCATTAAACTCTCTAGGTGGTTCTGATATACAGCCAAGTAGAAAACCACTGTGTTGAAAGTTGCTGAATTCCAGCCTCTGGGATGTGGACATAACTGATGGGCTCTTATGTTAGCTTACTGGCTGAAATTTTAGCAAGTAGAGATTTATTTAGGTTAGCAAAGTTACTTTATTATTCAAAAGTTCAGAATTGGTATTGCATGATTATGCTTCCATCTTGGTGTCATGAAAATACATACATAATAGTTCTTTGGATCAAGCTACCACCATTTAACATGCTTTGTCAATTGTAGTATGTCAGTAAGGTATTGCAGGTATTGCGATTATTACTGTAGTCATTGCTTTTATTATTGCTTATTACAGCATTTGGTACACGGTAGGTGCACAATACTTAATGAATTAATTAATGAGATCCTGATAGCTGTGCTAGTCTCATTGTTAAAATAGACATGTTTGTGCACCTTTCTTCTTTCTGAAATCCTTTTTGCCTCATGTGCTTTCCTGCTTTGCTTGCCACTCTATTTTTCATTCCTTTTGAAATTGTTGTTCTTCCTTTTTGAATTCCAGAGATTAGGTTTAAAGTCGAAGATAATGAAAAAATATCCACAATCTACAAATTTGATATTTCTTTTTAAAAAGATCTGCTTGCCCTGTCCCTTGAGCTGTTTTTCCAGTAAGTGAGGGGTTTTGGCAAATGAGTGAAAAAGCCGATGTTTTCAAACACTTCCCTATGGCCAGTGTTACACCAGGGTTAAGGGTACAGTTTATGATTCTAGAACACATTCATCTTTTGTGGAAAGTCAGTGTCCCTGGCTGCATTAGCACCCATATATGACTCACTGTTAATATGCCAAAATATTATGTGGTCATCAAGGGGTAGATGGTAAATTATAGAGCTGTTCTAAAGCGCATGTAAAAAATCCCAATTCAGGGAACTCAGGTTGCTGGACAGCTTCTACTTTTGGACAGAGAGTGAAGCCTTACTCTGTCCCACACTCTGACATCACCCACTGTAACTCCTTCTGCCCCACAAAAATATCTACATACTCATAAGTAGATTTTTTGGCTCTAAGTTAGCAAGTAGTTTTTTGTATTTGAGGTTTTTTAAAATGCATATACCCCTGAAAGGATTAAGGCAAGATCATCAGTCATTCTAACCTAATGTGAATGTATTAGATCAAATTATATTTGCTAGAACACTCCGTATGGAGATGTTTAACACTGAGGAAACAGAAGGGAGGGCAATTTGGAAGCAAATAGGAAGAGATAGCCCAGTTGGAAAGAGGTACTTAGACAGGGTACAGTGGCTTATGCCTGTCATTCCAGCACTTTGGAGGCCAAATCAGGAGGATTCCTTGAGCCGAGGAGTTCGAGAGCAGCCTGGGCAACATAGTGAAACCTATCTCTACTAAAAATTAAAAAATCAGCCGGGTGTGGTGATGTGTGCCTGTAGTCCCAGCTACTTGGGAAGCTGAGGTAGGAGGATCCCTTGAGCCCAGGAGGTCATGGTTTCAGTGAGCTATGATTGTGCCAGTGCCCTCTAGCCTTGGTGACAGAGCAAGACCGTGTCTCGAAAACAAAAACAAAAAACAAAAAGCCCCAAAACACGAAAAGAAAAGAAAAAAAACAGAGGTACTTGGGTAGGCAGAAGGTGCTGTGATAAAGTTTCTTGGCCTTGGATGACTGGAAAGAGCCAAAGATACAGCTTTCTCCAGTGTCCTTACCTCAGGTAGGATGAGCCCCCTCCACTTTGGAACTGAGATCCGTATGTCTTTGCTTGCTGCCCTGCCCTGCCTCAGGGCCCTGGGGTGATAGGTCAAGGTGTTCTAGGATGCAGACGTGAAGAAGAGAGAGGGCATGGGAAGGGTGCAGCATAATAGTGCACAGGGAGATCTCATGTAAGTGACCACAGGTAAGTGCAGGCAGCTGTGGGAAGTGTGGGCTGTGAGATATTGCCTATACCATTGATCCAGACATGACTACATCCTGGTGTTTCCCTAGAATGCCAGAGGATTCAACATGAGCATACCCATGCCTGGGCATCCAGTGAACTTCTCCAGTGTCACTCTGGAGCAAGCCCGCAGAGATGTGGAGCAACTGGAGCAGCTCATCGAAAGCCATGATGTCATTTTCCTGTTGATGGACACCAGGGAGAGCAGGTGGCTTCCTGCTGTCATTGCTGCAAGCAAGAGAAAGGTAGGCACTGTCTCTAATTATGATTTATGATTTAATGCACCACCACTCCAGAGGGAGGAGTGTCCCTAACCTTCCCTTCCCCAGAGCAGAGATGTGGTTTGTATGACCTGGTAGCATAGTGCCAAAGGGCTTCTGCTTCAGACTCTGTCTTCACCTCACACACCATCACCCAGTGTAATAGGTATCATTTACTGCTTAATTTTCATCATAATCTTTTGAGATACTCTACACTGAAAGGTATACTGTACTTACATTGAAACGTAAGCTCCAAGAGGACACAGACTTGGTCTCATTCACCATTACTTGGTCAATGACAACTTCGAAGGCCAACAGTGTTGAATAGTGAACTAAATCATGGTGCATACCTATGATGGAATAGTGTGCAGCCATTCACAGTATGTTTTCTTTTTTTTTTTTTTTTTGAGACGGAGTCTTTCTCTATCACCCAGGCTGGAGTGCAGTGGCCAGATCTCAGCTCACTGCAAGCTCCGCCTCCTGGGTTTACGCCATTCTCCTGCCTCAGCCTCCTGAGTAGCTGGGACTATAGGCACCTGCCACCATACCCGGCTAGTTTTTTGTATTTTTTAGTAGAGATGGGGTTTCACCGTGTTAGCCAGGATGGTCTCGATCTCCTGACCTCGTGATCCACCCGTCTCGGCCTCCCAAAGTGCTGGGATTACAGGCGTGAGCCACTGCGCCCGGCCACAGTATGTTTTCAAAGGACTTTTAATAAGATGGAAAATGCCGCATTATATTAAGGAAGATGCAATATTGTATATATTTTATACCAATTATGTTAAATATTTATATATGTCTTCCTATATATCTACTTATCTGTCTATTGGGAGAGGAGAGAGAAAGAGGGCAAGAAGAAGGGAGAAAGACAGGGAGAGAATGGGAGGGAAAGAGAGAAAATAATAGGAAAAAATACCCCAAACTATTAATGATAATTTTTTGAGCTGTGGGTTGAGTGATTTTTTTCTTTTGTAGTGTGTTTGTCCTTTATTTTTCAAACTTTCTATACTATCAGAAATTTGGGATAATAAGTTAAATTAGAACCATGAAAAGTTGTTATAGTATAATGAAAAAAATGTTTTTTAAAAAATTTATGTGTTGGGCTGGATGGACATGGTGGCTCACATCTGTAATCCTAGCACTTTGGGAGGATTGCTTGACACAGGAGTTTGAGACTAGCCTGGGCAACATGATGAGACTCTATCTCTAGAAAAAAAACAAAAAATTAGCTAGGTGTGGTGATGCACACTGGTGCTCCCAGCTACTCGGGAGGGTGAGGCAGGAAGATCACTTGAGCCTGGGAGGTTGAGGCTGCAGTGAACCGAGATCACGCCATTGCATTCCAGCCTGGGCAATGGAGCAAGATCCCGTCTCAAAAACAAAAAACAAAACAAAACAAAATACCAACTATGCAGAGCCAGGCAGGCATGGTGGCATGTGCTTGTAATTCCAGCTACTGGGATACCAAAAAAAATCTACATGAAGGGTGAATTATATGGTATGTGAATTATATCTCAATAAAGCTCTTATAAAAACAAATCTATGTGGATGTGACAGTATAGTATAATGGTAGAAAGAATGTGTTTGAGAACTATGTAGACTTGGTTTTATACACCTGCCTCTTGCCAGATAAGTGACCTTAGACAAGTTATAGAACTAACTTCTCTGACTTTCAGTATCCTCATCTATAAATAAGAAATGTTTGTTATGAGTTTTTTTTGTTTGCTTTTTTCTTTTTTGGAGATAGAATCTTGCTCTGTCGCCCAGGCTGGAGTGCAGTGGTGGAATCTCGGCTCACTGCAACCTCCACCTCCCAGGTTCAAGCGTTTCTCGTGCCTCTGCCTCCTGAGTAGCTGGGACTACTGGCACATGCCACCATGCTTGGCTAATTTTTTTGTATTTTTAGTAGAGACAGGGTTTCATCATGTTGCCAGGCTGGTCTTGAATTCCTGACCTCAGACAGTCTGCCCTCCTCGACCTCCCAAAGTGCTGGGATTACAGGTTATGAGCCATTGTGCCTGGTCTGTTACGAGTTTCAAATGAAATTAAATAAGATAATTTATGATAATTGTGATATAATTAGGTCTTTTGTACTTAATAAGCCCTCAGTAGTGGGTAGCTTTTATCATCATTAACTTTTATAATCTAATTACACTTACATGCAAAAAATAAATTTTAAAAAGTTGAGCAAATATGGAATTAGCCACAGCTTCAAATATATGTGTCTTTTAACTCTGCTCTTTTATTCCTTGAAACCTGCAGCTGGTCATCAATGCTGCTTTGGGATTTGACACATTTGTTGTCATGAGACATGGCCTGAAGAAACCAAAGCAGCAGGGAGCTGGGGACTTGTGTCCAAACCACCCTGTGGCATCTGCTGACCTCCTGGGCTCATCACTTTTTGCCAACATCCCTGGTTACAAGCTTGGCTGCTATTTCTGCAATGATGTGGTGGCCCCAGGAGATGTAAGTGGATTTCTCTTTAGTTCCAAATATTTCCTGTCACCAACTTGTGCGCTGAGGCAGACAGACTCGGCCCTTTCATTTATGACTATTTAAATATTATCTTTTAACAAAGAGAAGAATTCTCCAATTTGGGGAGGATGGCATTATCTCATTATGAACCTTGACTGGCGTCATCAACTGTACAGCTGTTCCTTGTTCACCAATATAAACGCGGCTACAAACCCTATTTTTGGAAAGCTTATTGAGGAAACCACAGCAGACTAATCCCTGGTAGCACTCAGTATTGTCTCCTGTGCTTCTTTTAGTCAAGACAACATTACAAATTAGGAGTCTAAAGATCAGATTCCATCAGTGCCTTGACATTGCCTCCCAGGTAATTCCAAAAAGTCTCTTAGGTTCCCTCTGCCTCTGCAAAATAGGACTGGTGTGTAGGCTTGTCAGATTTAGTAAGTAAAAATACAGGATTCCCAGCTAACTTTGAATTTCAGTTAATAATGATTTTTTTTTTTTTTTTTTTTTTTTTGAGACAGTCTCGCTCTGTCACCGAGGCTTGAGTGCAGTGGAACGATCTCGGCTCACTGCAACCTCTGCCTCCTGGGTTCAAGTGATTCTCCTGCCTCAGCCTCCTGAGTAGCTGAGACTACAGGCACGTGCCACCACGCCCGGCTAATTTTTGTATTTTTAGTAGAGATGGAGTTTCACCATGTTGGTCCAGCTGGTCTCAAACTCCTGACTTTGTGATCCCCCTGCCTTGGTCTCCCAAAGTGCTGGCATTACAGGCGTGAGCCACCATGCCCGGCCAATAATGAATAATTTTTTAGTATATGTCCCATGCAATATTCAAGACCCACTTATACTAAGAATTTATTTATCTGAAATTCAAATTTAACTGAGTGTCCTGTATTCTCCCTGGCAATGCTAATAGGGGAGGGAAGAATACTTGCCCTGTCAACTCACAATTCAGTGGGTCAAGTGCGACAGTGCTTTGAACAGCAAGACTACACTGTACAAATTAAGATTCTATGGCTTTCAGAACTTCACACAAGTCTGCCTGTATGTAGGGCTGTTCCTTTATCAGAACAGATAAAAAATTTCCAGTGAGGCAATGCAGAGATGTTTTCTGTAACCTCCCCTCTATTTTTCCTTTGTTTTAAAATTTTTCACTTAATAACTCATATCTCCTTTGGATGACTGGCTTTTATGTCCTCCCAATATAAAGAAAAGAAGATGACCATTCTCTTATATGAAGAAGGATGGCTTGATGATCTCTGTCATGGTGTTATAATATACAGCTGGTCTTGTTATTTAGTTATTGTCAACAAATACGATTAGTGGTCCCTTGCAGTAAAGTCCCATTTGCTCATAAGGTAAAATTTTCATAGAGTCAAAAATATTCCTGACAACCTCTTTAATTTGCCCAGAGTGGGATGGTTAGACTCTCTTTGGTTGAACCAGCAAAGGCTTGTGTTCACAGCCATGTTGTAGGAAAAAAAAAAAAATACTTGCAGTAAACCCTAGAATCACCCAGAGAGGTGATGCCCATGTTGTGAGAGGAACATTGGAACTGAGGGCTGCAATAATAGTAAATTGTTGCTCCCATCTCACGGTCACTTTGAGGTGTTAGTTAAAATGGCAGGGCAGAATCATTTGCACTATTCTAATCATTGTTCCTTTCTGTGTGTCTGTCACTTAACTACCAAGCACAGAACTGAATTGAGTCACATAAAGGAACACATGATGCAGTTCCTTTATATGAGGCAGCTAAGCCCTCATTTTTGATTGATATCCCCCAATCTGTTTAAGCTGCTGATCCTTTTTAGCATATTACCTCATTTAGTTACCTAAATTGTGTATTTTGTTTTCTTGATAATCTCAAGAAATGATGTACTTGAGGCTGGATGTTCTTTGCTAACAATGAGCATCTGGTTATAATTTAAAGCTTTGTCACAGAGGATTTCATACTTGAGACAGCTAGAGTTGAATGGAATAGAACATTCAGCACACACCAATGATTGTTTCTTTGCAGTCAACCAGAGACCGGACCTTGGACCAGCAGTGCACTGTGAGTCGTCCAGGATTGGCCATGATTGCGGGAGCCCTGGCCGTGGAATTGATGGTATCTGTTTTGCAGCATCCAGAAGGGTGAGTTTGCTAGTGGGAGATGAGCATTTAAACAAAGCTTTTGTAGGCAGTTGTTCATCAATGTCTCCTGTGGCCTTTTCTCAGTCTGACTTTTCAGAGAATTTCACTACTTTATCTACCCTCAAAAACACAAGACTAGAAAAAGCAGGTCTGGTTCTTTGGGCTGAGATAACTTGGCACGTTTCCTTTGTGGCCACATTTCTGCATCCTTTTGGACAAATTATGGTTTATTTTATTTTTCCATTGCTTATATAGGGCTTACTTTGTGCTAGGCACTGGTCTAAGCACTTCAGAAATATTGCCTCCTTCAATCTTTTTTTTATTATTATTATTTTTTTAATGAGACAGAATTTCGCTGTTGTTGCCCAGTCTGGAGTGAGTGCAATGGCACGATTTTGGCTCACTGCAACCTCTGCCTTCTGGGTTCAAGTGATTCTCCTGCCTCAGCCTCCCAAGTAACTGGGATTACAGGCATACGCCACCATGCCCGGCTAATTTTTGTATTTTTAGTAGAGACGGGGTTTTGCCATGTTGGTCAGGCTGGTCTTGAACCTCCAACCTCAGTGATCAGAGGTGATCCACCCGCCTTGGCCTCCCAAAGTGCTGGGATTACAGGCGTGAGCCATTGCACCTGGCCTCCTTTAATCTTCATAGCAAACCTGTTAGGAAAGAACTATTATTATTAGTCCCGGTTTTGATGGGGAAATCAAGGCACAGTGAGGATAAGTAAGTGGCCAAATTAACATAGTAAATGGAAAAGCCAGGGTTTAGCTCAATGTGGCTCCAAACTATGTTTAATCACTTTGTTATGCTGTTTGCAATACAGGCAGCAGAAAATCGAATTTTTGAAGGATTTATTTTTCCAGTTCTCAGAAAGTCAATACGCAAATTAACATGAATATTCTATTTATTGTGTGACTCAAAGCTTTCCTCAGCAGTTGAAAATTGTGGCTGTATAGGTAACTAGTATGGGTACTCCGAGATAAACGAAAAGCAGGACTTTTTTGTCTTCCTCTTTGTCATCCACCTTAGCTATCTGTCATTTAAGTTTATTGCCATCCTCTGACAGGAAGTATTTGGGACAAAATCTTTGAGAGCTGACTTTCTGCTTCCTTGACGCTGACCATCCGTCTGCCACATTTGCCCTGGTCATAGTTTAAACACCAGGTCCTGTGTCACGTCTCTTTGGTGACAGAAGTATCACTCCATTGTTCAGAGAGTAGTGCATTAGTTTTGCCCAATTCATTCTTCACTTTTATTTCCTACATTTCATTACCATTTATATCAGCTCAAGAAGTTCAGGTTAGAAAATTTTCCTCTTCAAATTTTCAGTGCAGAAATGTTCTGTGATGTTTGATAAGACTATTTCATAGTAAGTAAGTTAATGTTTATTGGCCTCTGATATGCCAAACATTGCACTGGTAATTGGTATAGTAGATTCCTCATTTATTAATCAGAGCTCCCTCATTCCTACTTTCTAGATGATGGATCTGAAGCACAGAGAAGTTAGGCAACTTGCCTATGGTCACAAGCTCAGGTCTTTCTTACTCCAAACCGTGCATTTTAAAATTACTCTTCTTGCCCTTTGTCCCAGGGAAATTATTTTTTTGCTAACTTACACTGCCCAGCAAGGGGCATTTTAGTTATCCTTATGAATCTTATGTAGACTTCTGCTTAGATCATCCTCCCATGTGTTAAACTTGGATTAAATGAGCAGCTCTGATTGTTTCCTGTCCTCAGGGGCTATGCCATTGCCAGCAGCAGTGACGATCGGATGAATGAGCCTCCAACCTCTCTTGGGCTCGTGCCTCACCAGGTTAGTGATTTGGAAGTGAAATCACAATTCTTTTGGTGCAGGGGGAAGGCATGTGGGGTCTCTTTGCCATTCCATCTGCCCAGCCCACTTCATATCCACCCATTTACCCTGCAGCTGGGATTTCAGTGGGAGAACTTTCCGACCACCTAGAAGGTATTCCATTCTGCAGGATAGTGATGGGAAGAAATCACAAACGAGAAGCATTGCCTAGAGTCGTTGATGCGTTTTGTAAACTGACTAGAGGCCTCATAATGCAATAGGAACAGAAAAAAAAACGTGCTTTGGAATCAGCCATACAATGGTTTAAATCCCAGCCCTGCCGTTATTAAGATGGCCTTCCTTGGCCAAGTCACTAAACTTCTCTGAGGCTTAGTTTTCTTATCTATAACGTGGAGAAAGTAATACTGACCTCACCTGGTAGTTGTATGGATTATGGATGGTTGCTAGAAAGGGCTCAGCAACAGTATATATCATAGGCTCTCAACAAACAATACCTGCTGTTTCTTTGCTGTTGTTCGTTATTATTATTGATTCTGAACCCAAGTAGAGAACCTTCATAGGCAGGCAGGGGAAAACCACTAGAAGCATGCAGGGTCACCAGAAAGCAGGGTGTCTTTTCAGAAAAAGAATCCAAAGTATCATGAGGAAGTTCCATCCCTTAGGGATTAAAAAGAAAAAGGCAGTGGGATGGACATTTAGAATTCATACTGCCTCTTCAGTCATTTTCATTACTATATTTTCGGGAGATTGAAGAGGTTTTCCAGTCTTACATTTTGGAAATCATTTTTTTAGATTCCACGTATGTATTCTCTCCTGTAATGTGACAGCTGCCCCCATGAGTGAAATGGTGATATTGCCCGCCAGTCCTACCTGGAGATTTGCAAGGACAGACTCAGACGAGTGCAGAGAGCACAGGGACTCAGCTCATGCTTGTCTCTCTCTTCCTCCTCGCCACCCACCTTCTGCCAGCTAGGATGGCACTGTTATATTCCGTTTAGAATAAGAATCAGAAGAGGGGAAATGACTTCTTTATGGTCACAGAGACTTAGTGGATGAGCCACAGTCCATACCTAAACTTGGCAGTCTGACAAATGTTCTTTCAAAGGTCTTGTGAGTCGAAAGATCCGTGGCCTGCATATTGGGAGATTTTGCTTCCTGTTGGGACCTCAGCCCACTTGCACAAAGCCACCCATAATAGAACTTGTGGGCTGGGCGCGGTGGCTCACACCTGTAATCCCAGCACTTTGGGAGGCCGAGGTGGGTGGATCACGAGGAGAGGAGTTTTGAGACCCATCCTGGCCAACATAGTGAAACCCCGTCTCTACTAAAAATACAAAAATTAGCTGGGTGTGGTTGTGTGCACCTGTAATCCCAGCCACTCAGGAGGCTAAGGCAGGAGAATCGCTTGAACCTGGGAGGCAGAGGTTGCAGTGAGCCAAGATCATGCCATTGCACTCTGGCCTGGGCGACAGAGTGAGACTCCATCTAAAAAAAAAAAAGAACGAACTTGTAGAGTTCACTTAGCCTCCCAGAGCCTCAGTTTCCACATCAAGAAAAGCAGGTGCTTTACTTTGCATCCAGTATTACATCTGACACGGCCTTGAAAACCACAAAACACTATAAAAATGTGTCCCCCATCCACCGTCCCCCACATACGGTGGCATTTTTTTTTTTTTTGACATGCGTTAATCTTCTCTACAGAGACATTTCACATAGGACCCAAAAGACACAGTAATAACCATCTATCATAAGGAAGCTGACCTCCAGAGCCGACCTCTGCTATTTATGCTCTCGTATCTCATTTGAATCTTTCCCAAGTCTCCCCCTTCTTCTGACCTTGAGATGTGCCCTCATCTCCTTTACAGACTTTATACTGAGAAGGGCCTTAATTAAATTTTCAGTCATGCCCCTGTACTGGTTTCCTTCTTTAAGTCCTTTATGTTAAATTACTGCAGTTGTAGTTTTCTCAGTGCTGAGGCCAGAGGGCAAAACAGTCTCTTTATAGAAGGGGCCCAGTGTCAAAATGCATGTGCCCATGTTTTTAAAGTGCTATGGCAACTAATCCCTCTCAGTGTTATTTATCCCCATTGAGCCTCACAATTGTTTGTCATTCACCAACTCTTCTAGTTCTTTCTCCTCGTTTTCAAATGTCTGAAGGATTATTTTGGTTGTTGGCCATCTCTTCATTTGCCCTTTTCAAAGACTGAAGAATAACGCAGCCATATATGGGAAAAGCCCAGTGTGTGTGTGTGTGTGTGTGTGTGAGAGTGTGTGTGTGTGTGTGTGTGTGTAAGTGATTACTTGCTTACATTATTTCAAGTTTCAAGCCTTTATTTTTAGCTACTTTCTAAAAAAGAAAGTGGAGAAAGAACTTTAAAAATTAATCAGGGTTGTGTGGTCCCCATTTATAGGCTTTAAACAACTTTTTTTTTTTCCTAAGTGGAGTGAGTCCATTTATGCAACCGTGTTTTGATTAGGGGAACATCGTTTCCACAAAAACACTGGGCTGTGTTGCAATGCCCTGTTGCAAACTCAGCACTTCCCTCCTCCTCTTCCTGGCTCTTAGAGACAAATGATTTCCTGTTGGAGAGGAACTTGGTAAACTCCTTTGTGTACTTTGTATGCAAAGAATGACCAGTGAAGTTTACTGGGCTCATTTTTCTCAGTTCCCCAGAGGAGAAGTTTTATTAATTGGCCCCTGTGGAAGAGATGTAGTAGAAAAGTGATAGTCCTTGGACTGAGAATCACAAGGCCCCCCACCAGCAACTCATTGTGTAATTTGGAGAAAGTTCCTTAGCTTTTCCTGTGCTCTCTGGGTCTCTGCTCTCCTCTGTGTCAGACCTAGGAGGCCTGAGGATTACTTAGTTGTTCTGTCTCTGGGTCCACAGGCAGAATTTGGCCCATCCAAAGATTGGCCAAGTGCCAAAAAAAAAAAAAAAAAAAAAAAAAGGCCTGATTAGGCCCTGAAATTCAGTGAAATTCTGCCTGAAGAAACCTCTTACTGAATTTGAAAACCATAAAAAACCATTTCGGGTGAGCAAAAGGCTTATGGGTTTGTTTGGGGTTTTTTTTTGTTTTTTGTTTTTTAAGTCTCTGGCCCATTGTACGTGGATTCGATTCTGCAAGCAGGCAGCAGTAAGTATAAGCTAATTTCTGTCTATAAAAAGAATGATTTTTCAAAAAATCATTTTGTTGATGTGTGGAATAGATATAGATTATCACACACATCATTAAGTGGTAATGTGATGAATGATCACAAAATGAACAGTCTTATACCCAGCACACAGATCAGAACAAAGTAACTATCAAGCACCTTCAATGCCCCCCCTCATGCCTCTTCAGATTATTATTGCCTCCTTCCTATAGAGAGGTAAGCACCTCTTGATTATCAATACCATGGGAGATGTTTGTCTGATTTTGAACTTCTGTAAATGAAATTATATAGTATGTACTCTTTGGAATCTATTGTCTTTTGTAGAGGGAGCTTTTTCATTATAAATCTTAGCATAGTAGTGTTGTCCTTTCTGCTTCCCATCAACAGTGTTCTTTTACTTAAAAAAAAAAAAAGAAAAAGAAAAGAAGAAGAAGAAGAAAGAAAGAAAGACTGATTTTTCCTGGCTGGTGGCTGAGCTCTGCAAGGCCAGATCCTTTTTCTGCTTCTTTGCTACGAGGCACAGTTTGGGATTTATAAAATGTACAGGCCACTCTTGATATCTCCAGGAAGTTGGTTTGCTGGCTGGTGAGAGATCCTGGATGTGACAGAAATTAACAGCCTGTTAGCCTGCTAAGTCTTTGGCTGTATATCCTCATAGAATGACAACGAGGTGACGAGGCTAGGCACAGTGGCTCACTCCTGTAATCCCAGCACTTTGGGAGGCTGAGGTGGGAGAATTGCTTGAGTCCAGGGGTTCAAAACCAACCTGATTACTCAGAGAGTAACCTGATTATAGAGAGACCCTATCTCTACAAAAAATTAGCCAGGTGTGGTGGCACGCACCTGTGGGAGTTTGAGGCTGCAGTGAGCCAGGATCACACTACTGCATTCCAGCCTGGGTAACAGAGGGGGTTCCTGCCTCAAAAAAAAAAAGGAATCAAGGTGACGCTACAACAGTTGTCCAAACACCAAGGTAATTGATGGGGCACTCCTGCTTTATCCCACTTGTGGACCAAGCAGTGCACATCTTTTGTCTTTAGGTAAATGAACTCTTGGTTCTAAAGTACTAATAAAAAAAAAAGACCCTGAATGTGTATACCATTCTTCTGAGCTTGGAATTGCCAACCCCAGGGTTTTCTCAGCTTCATGAATTATTTTAGCTTCAGAAAGGTAATACAAAGCCAAAACTAGGGCAGGACCTTGGGAGGGATCTGGCCTGGGAAAATTCTAATTGATTCACATGCTGAGGTGGAGCTGGGATCTCTAGCCGTATCTCGGGATATTTGCCCTTTCTACACAGGCTGTGCCCCCCAAATCCTCAGGCCTTTAGATTTTGAAAAAACGTCTTTACTGTGTTCAGAAATACTTATCTCTGTGCTCCTAGGGACATGGACAGATGGACTGCTGAAGAGGGAAATCTTAGCAGATAAGCAATAAGAACATATTTCCTGAGATGTAGCCCAGGAGAAGACCCTCCTTTCCCCTCTGGTTCTATACCTCTCTGGTTGATGATGATGGATATAGCAGAAAAAATGGGCAGGCCTTATGTTTCACTGTATCAAGTGTTATGGTTTGTGACCTATTCATCTTATCTCCTTCCTTCCATCCAGCCATCCCCTCACCAGGCAATCTGACTCTGCCAAGTGCCAAGCACTATGAAGTTCAGAGAAGTTAAGTAACTGGTACAAGATCCACCCAGTGTTGAGTTTCATTTGCGTTTGGGGTAATCTAAGGTGATGGATGTATCCCAAGTCATTTGGATGCAGTAGAGTCTGGTTCCAGTGGGGAGGTCTCTGAATACAAAGAAGGATCTGGGTATACGTCTAACAATGTCTGAGTTTCCTCT